ATCATTTTTTTTCAGTCAAACATTATTCCATGCCTATGATGACATGTTATTCTCTGACCAGAGACCTAAGGAACAGCCCCTTAGTTGCACCAAAGGAGGGGGTGTGGGAGGGGGAATAAAGAAATAAAACCCCAAACATGAAACTCATTGGGGTTTTTTTTTTATCTGACTTTCTCACAGCTGTGCACAAGAAAGACAACCATTGTATTAAAAACCTACAAAAGCAAACACCATGAGTCCACAATGTGTAAGAGCAGTTGTGTTTACAAAGCCATTAGCAAATGTTTGAGTCAGAGAAGACATTTAGTGTTGCGTGCTGTCATGAAGTATTTACCCTGACAATGCTTAAAGACTGACTAGTTACACAGAAAAAGGAGGAAGTGTCAATATTTTGCTAGGGGCTGAGGGCGGCCGATAGCCGTTTGCCCACATTTAGACTACTTCCAGGTGCTCTGCAAACTGGACGCACCGCGAAACAAAATGGATATCACCACTGTGGAAAGTCAGGACCAAATCTTCTGAAAATTCTTGTTTTAATTTTAATGCCAACTTTATCTCAGGTTTCAAATTTTGTTCACCGATGATGATTATGCTGTGTCCTATTAAAAGCATGTATAGAAAACCAAAATGCAATAGTAATGCACTGGACATATAAAGCCTTAAATGGCCGAACTCTGTCTTATATCAGAGATCTGATCATTCCTTATGTTCCTAACAGAGCACTTCACCCTCAATGTGCAGGTTTACTAATGGTTACTATTTATAAAAGAAGAATGGGCAGCAGATCTTTGTTATCAGGCTCCTCTCCTGTGGAACCAACTACAAGTTTTAGTCCGTGAGGCAGACACCCTGTCTACTTTTAAGGGTAGGCTTAAAACTTTCCTTTTTGATAAAGCTTATAGCAAGGCCTAATACTTCCCTTTTTGATAAAGCTTATAGTTAAAGTGAAGCAGGTAATCCTGAACAATCCTTGTAGTTATGCTGCTATAGGTTTAGACTGCTGGAGGATATAGGAACCACTTTTCATCATTCTATCTCTATTCTCCAATTCTGCAGAATCTGTTAGTTCAATCTCTAACACTATGCTCTTTCTTCTTTCTCTCACAGTAGCTTCATCTGGTCTGTTCCTGGAGAGGGGTGTCAGCTGTGCTGCTGCCATTATACCTTTGTTTATAGATGTATAAGCTTGGCCTGGTTTTCAGTGTAGTCCTGTTTCTCTTACTGTATGTGCTCTTTCATCCTCTGACATGAGAGCTGGTTCAACTCGTCTGCCTAGTTGTTGTGTTTCTTGGACGGGGTTTCTGTGGAGCTGGTTAACAGTTGCCTTTTATATCTCTGCTTCTTTCTGTACGTCTGCGTTTGTCCTCTTGAACCTCAGCATCCCTCAGGAGAGGGCCTCTCACACTGAGCCTGGTTCTGCTGGATGTTTCTCACTTTAAAAGGGAGTTTTCAATGTGAGGAATTCTTTATGAGATGATACAATCAATTGGCTTTCCTTAGATAGAAAATTTAAACCAGTCTACTGTATGATCTGGTTGAATTGTCTCTGTAAAGGGCATAGAGATGGCGTGTCATGAATTTGCACTTTATAAATAAACAGAATTAAATGAAAATGAAAAAAATAAATAAAAAGATTAAAATACCCAAACAAACCTAACATTTGCCATAAAAAATAGCTGAGATGATAACACTAGTATATATTTAGTTGCTGCAGAAATAAAAAATTGATGACCAAAATCATGTGATAAAAGTGCCCTCTGCTGTCAATTTAGCCTGTAAAGTGCACATCACACATTAGAGCACATACTTTTCAGCTTCATTTGCTGTGAAGTGAAAAGGCTGCAATTTCAGACTTGGGGAGACATAAACGACAACTCGTTCTCCAAGCAGAAATGTAGCACATCAACTCAGTGACCTCATCAGCAAGGTTGTCCAGGCATTCACTGTGAAATTATATCAGACACGGCAAGGGGACAGCTATTGGCTGGAAATGAGTAGGGAGGATTTAAACCCTGTAAATAAATAAAAAAAACTGTTTTATTGCCTTAGCTCAGGCCAACAGACTACCTTGAAGCTACATTTTTTGCAAGTTATACTGGTATACATGTATACCAGTAAGAGTTTGTTGTTTTTTTTAGATAAAGGCGTGTAGCACCATCTACTGTTCAGAGGTGAACAAACTAAATTCAGTTTCTACAACATGACAAGCAGAGTTACAACCCCTGGCAGAAATAATGGAATCACTGGCCTTGGAGGAAGTTAATTCAATTGTTTAATTTTGTAGAAAAAAAAACAGATCACAGACATCACACAAAACTTAAGTAATTTCAAATGGCAACTCTCTGGCTTTAAGAAACACTAAAAGAAATCAAGAAAATAAAATGTGGTCGTCAGTAAGGGTTACTTTTTTTAAACCAAGCAGATATATAAACCAGAGACCAAGCTAGAAGCATCTGTTTATGATAGTCAGCTTTAAGTGAAGTTTTTCAATGTGAAAATCTGACATTAAAACTGAGAAGATACCACCGGTTTTTGTGATTCGACATAAAATCCCACATGATACATCTCTTTGAAGCCAGTGGTTTAATTTTTGGTGGGTATTTTCTCAATAACAGGATCAAAGTTCATTGTGTATCTTTCTTTTATCCAAAAAAAAAAAAAAACAATCTACTAGACTTTGTTTCCAAGTTTGAAGACGTTCTGCTTCCCATCCAGGAAGCTTTTTTCATTCAAAATGTCAGAAATGGTGTTGAGTTCAAGGCTTTATAAAGTGGACCAAAGCAGACTTGTTTTGGCTTTCTTTGATCTTTTGGAAATGACACTTAGGTAAGCGACTTAAGATTTGACAGGGATGTTGAGTACAAGATTTAATCGGGAGTTCACAATATTAAAGTTTAAGGCCTGAAGCTACAGAGAAATTCTTGTTGAGATTAATGGCAATAGGAATTGTTCAGTGTCGTCAGAAAAGAATAGTGTCAGCGTCACTTGGCTAATCAACACTTCTCTATCAGCAATAGAGATACCACACACATTATTCTCTTTAATATATATGGTATTGTCAGAAGATGAGCTGCGATTATAAAAAGGTAAGGTGAAATGGGACAGCCCTGCGAGACTGCTTTAGACAACTGGAATCTAGGAGTAGGCCCATGTTTAAGTTTAAAAAGTTTACATTACTGAATAATGTTTCTATGGAATATTTGAAGAAACAACCAAATCCAATTTTTTTCTAAGGCATTAAAGAGGAATTTGTGCTCCAAGTCAAACGCCTTGTAGAAATCGAAGAACATGACCTGTTTTTATTACGACTTGAGTAAGAGTTGTTGGTAATTTACCATGTTTAGTGCGTTCAGTCAGTGTGTTAACAACAAAGGGACAATTTTCATTTTTAAATGTCTTGAAAAATTTACTTGACAGTCGCTGCCAGGTTATTTCTTTGTTCCTAAGGCACCAAATGGCTTCTTTAACTTCATTAAAGGAAAAGTCCGGTCAGTGAGGAATAAAAAATGGGAACGGCCAATTTTGCCCAAATACAGTAACAACTCACTCGTGACATTTTCCAGCAGTGACGTCACGGTGCGGTAAGCCTAGCGCCATTCTCCCCGCTTTACAGGCAAAACCAATGGGAGCTACTAGAGACATCTGCAATCAACAACAATTATTGAAGATTTCCAGAGGACTTCACCTTTGAAATTCACCAGAGCTATAGCAGGGTTTATACGGGAATGAATAACTCAAATTTAATGCTTTTTAACGCTCTTTCAATGCGCTTAGAAATAATTTTAATGCCACCACCAGGTACCTGTCGACAGGCTGCAGCCATGTCCCGAATTCCTCGTTTTCCAGCCACTTTTGTTGAAATTTGCTTTTTTTCCCCCCATTCTCTAGCTTTTTCTCCGACTCAAGCTTCTTTTCTGAACATACAGCTTTGCGATCAACCGGAAGCAGTTCCACGCAATTATATCATGATATATGTCTGACGAAATTGCTTTTATAAATTTTTTTTTTAATAAAGCATTTAAAATGCCACAATAAACACATTTAATGAATTTTAATGCCAATTAGGGCCTTAATTAAGAAAATAATTAAATGACTTTTAATTGATTTTTAATGACCCGCAAAAACCCTGTATAGTTAAACTGACAATGCCCATGTGCAAGGCACATGGACGTTGTAATACATCGGGTGTAAGTGAAAAAAATGTCGTTATTTCACCTTTCTGATTCATGATCCTCCACGGACGGGTTCGTCGTAGGATTGCCAATTTGTAGAGGGAGGATTTGCCATCGAAAAAATGTTGGCTAATATGTAGCCAACATTTGGAAGAATGTTTTCAAGATGGCTTGGATATTAGCACGTTATAACAAACACCAGATACAGCACTGGGACCTGCTGAACAGCCACTAGCGCACAGTGACATCACAAACCTGTAGGTGGCAGTAGTGTTCTGACAAACATGGATGTCTCCAGTAAAGCACAATTCAAATGAAAATTACTCTTAATTAAAAACACTTATCATTTATTGAACAGTATGTAATAATTTCATACTTAAATTACTTTCAGAAGTTTGTATTCTGAATGTGAGTGGACTTTTCCTTTAAGACGTCCATCTTTATAACAAATGAGGAAAGAGGGAAAATTGCGTATGCCATACAGCAGGCTTCTCAAAGGTGCTTGGTGTCAGTGAATGCGACACAGCGTTACAGACCCCCTCGGGCCATGACAGAGCTGTCATTCATGAAAACATTTTATGAAGGTGTAAAGGTTACTTAGTGTTATAAAGTTGGAAACCACCATTTAAGAGGATACAGTGGTGGCAAAGACTCAGCAAAAAAAACATTATAGATATTGTGTAGTGCTCTCAGCTTCACTTTGTTTTTTTGTTATAAACACACCGCTAGAATTTTCCCCAAACTGTGCTTCACAGCTTCTTAAAAATTCACCCAAAGCTATAGCCCAGAAAATAACTTATCGTTGTGGACAAATAAGCAATCACAACATGGTGTCTAAATAAATTTAATGCCACCAAAACATCTAGTGTGCTACACTTGTTCTGGTAAAGTTACAAAGCATATTTACAGGTGGTCAGCACCACTTCATGACAGCACAGCATTTACATTCTCAGGTCTAAATGCTGCAAATCCTAAAAGCTATTTTTTGTGATCACATATATACTTACACAATGTGACATGAATACAAACAAGGCAAAAAAAAAAAAAGCAAAGACATAAAAATAAAGTTCCACAACACATACTTTGGGTGGCAGCATAAAGCAGATGAAAGATACGATAAACTACATCTATCAGCTTGACCACATGTGATCATTTATCTCCTTTCAGTCAGGAAGGATTCTAGCATTAAAAAAACTAAACGAAAAAAAAAAAAAAAATTATTTGATGGAAATACCCAAAGATCACAAAGAAAAAGAAAGAAAAAAACACTTGCTATCAATAGGCAATGATTAAATTATGATTGCACCACAGTAAGGTTTGATATGATCAGGTATAGACTGTCAGCTGCATAGTTCCTCCTTTTACTGATTTGACAGAAAACCGTTACCAGAGTTTTTTGCTTAATCTTAAGGTCTTCTGCGCCTGAAAAAAACAGAAAACATAAAGCAAGTTTTAGCTTTTACTGAGACAACATAAGCGTAAAATCTGTGCCTTGTTTTGCTTACTTCTGATAGCCTTGAGCAGAACTTGCGTTTGCCACTGGAGCCTAAAGGGGAAGAAATTATATATGATTGGAAATATAAAACTAAATATTGTACAGGTATTATGAAATATGTGATTATGTAACAAAATATATAAGAACTTTAATGAAAATAAGCATACCCTGTTTTCATTGAAGTCTGTTGGTCCCTCTCCAGAGCCTGATCGCCTTTTCCGGCTAAACCCCGCCCCCCAAAAAAAGTATTTGAGTTAGAGTTTGAACAGAGTAAAAAGCAGTAAATGTCAAATGGATTATTTAAACGATGAAAACAATTATACAAAAGTTGAGTTTGTTTAAATTCACCAATTTAACACAGTGAATATTTGATTAACAGCTTTTAAAACAAATTTGTCTTATATATGGTAAGAGTTACAAGTTGGGGAATAAAATATATATTTTTTATTTTTTTGCACCATACATTTATGCAAAAATTGATATTGGAATAATGTAAATGTGTTCATGAATAAAAGACCATCTGATATGAGAGGAAAATTTGCAAGATGGTAATGATCTGTTTAAACATAAGTTACTTAGAAGTCAAAAGAAAACATTATATTCATTTTATTCCAACTTCTGTTATAAAACTATATAAAATATCAGTAATAATCCAACAAACATAAAAACTTTCTTAACTGTAAGATTTGCTCAAACACTTTACCTGGGGGCTGTTGGGCACTCTTGCTTTAGAGTCTCAATATCAGTAAACTGCACAGCTTGTCCTCCTCCTCTGGTCTTAAAAACATTTCCCTGTTGACACAACAACAAAGCTATCACTATCAAATGCTAAACAAAAGGTAAAATAGGCAGATCAGGCCAATTATGAAATCAAATTACAACATCATAAAATAAACGCTTTACCAGATGTGGAAAGGTTAAATTATCAAATCCATGCACAGAAAAGTTAAGAAATCAAATAGTTTTACCTTTATCAATTTGGTCTCGATCTCCCCGTCAGAGGCAAGCTCTTGGTGTCTAAGCACATATTTGTGGCATTTAGACAGAGCTTTCTCGTTCGGGGTCGACACCTTGATCGCATTGGGTAAGATTGGCTGCAATACAGTGTCTAGATCCAAATTAGTGGGAGGTTTGTGGTCTACCCATTTCTCCCCACCCGCAGAGCGTGAGCGCCTGTGCATTGGACGAACTGGAGGAACCGTCTGATGATCCCAAAGTGAGAAACAAAAATCAGGAAGTTATTTACATTTGGTCCTTTTTGAAGGTGTGGTGTGATTAGTAGGGAAGATTGATTGTTAAATAAAGTTTAGCTTATTGTGAAAAGACATGTATTGCTGGAAGCGAGAAAAATTCCAATTTTATTTTTTCCAGAGATTTTTGAATTTTTTTTTTTATATGTATATCAGTAGGCTGTACAGCAATACATTTCTCTCTTCACAAGAAATAGCCCAACAGAGTGAGAGTCAGCATGCGTGTTATGACGAAATGTAGCTGAGAAACAGGATCACTGAACTTTATGATGAACAGCATGCAAAGGGACACAAGCCAAGTGCTAATAAGCAACTGCTGATAGAAATACGTTTAGTGTGATTTGGAACCGATTCATGGTGTGATGGGTAAAGAGAAAACATTGTTAAAATAATACATGCATTCTTTCATTTTATCAAACAGATAAAAGGTTTCATCTGTTCTGCATGTTAGAAATCAATCTGACATGACATTTACTTAACTTTATGAGATGTTTGTATTTGCTTAAATACAGAGAAGTTGTTTCAATATATAAAACTACTTTGAGTGCTGTGAAGTATTCACTCCCTTTGAGATTTCCACAACTTTTGTCACACGATTCAAACAAAATATACTTTATTAATAAGACATATGAAATGTCTTATATATTTATTTTTATTTTTTTATTGTTTCAGTCCTCAAATCTGTAAGTGAACACTTTCACAGCACTGAAATGGCTACAAAAATTTAAGCTCGACTCCATTGGTTTTATGTGTTGATGGTGAAACCTGCCCCTATATACAATGGTTACTCTGGTCTGGAAAGGTCCAGTAAAGGTCACAGTTTACTTCAAAAACCCAGTAGTGTTTCTTACATTAACTTTACTTAAGTAAACGGCTGAAAATAAACACAAATTACTTTTTTCCTGTTTTTTGTTTTTCAAACGAAGAAAATCAATTTGATTTTGCCATCACTCAAAGCCTGAATGGAACCATTTCTGCATACTACAGAGCTGAAAATACCAGAACCGATCCAATCTATTCTGGTAATGATAACATAAGATAAAAATAAATCTGTACTTTGCCCATTTTTTCTTTGCTCTTCTTACTATGCGACCCTTTGCATCTTGGCCAATTATTCTCTGTTTGAGCATCTCTGACAGTCTCCTCCAATCACCAACACAAACATCATTTAAATGCAAACTGTGAATTCATGGAACATAATAGCCCAAAAATGTATTTCACTTAAATGATCATCTGGGATATTAATAATGCGATCCTTATTATCAAAGGAGAAATTTGAGGTTTGGAAAGACCCAACCCCCCTATTCCTTTTACATTCAGTTATAGGAGGAAGATTAAATTCTTCTCATTACTTACAAAACTTCTTACAAAGACTTAAAAGCAAAGCTCTAAACTTTATTTTTTTGGCAGTACACTCCAAAAAGGAGCACTAGAGATGCTACTATTACAACTTATCAGATAAATGCCTATTTTATTCTAAGTTTTATGTTAGAAAGGTGGTGCAAGTAAAGCATGAAATAAAATGAAAAAGGAAACTATTCTGGAATGCAGCAAGCAGAAGGAGTAAAGAAGGCATATTTAAGGGAAACAGGAAAGCTTAAAAGATCTGTCTAAGAGCAGAAAATGGAAAATTCTAGACTACAACCATGTTTCTACTTGAAGCATCACTAAACAAGCACATACAAAGGCGCTACACGGAGAAAAGGTTTACACTACAGGTTTGAAGCGAAGAGCTGAACATTTTGTCTACCAACACACTAACCCTTGTGCCTGCCTCTTTGTCAAGCTCATAGACAGAAGTTGTAGCAGGAGCCTCAGTCTCTGGGGCCCAGCGCTGGCCTCTCCTGCGACCCACGCTGCTTGCACTGTGGCATGGGGCGGGAGTCCTGCTGCCAAACTGGGGCGTTCCTGGTTGCCTGTACTGGCTGCCTGAGTCTACAGGGAACCTCTGCTCCCAATCTGAGATGCAGGTAGCTACGGAGGGAAAGGCTGAGGAGGGAGTGGAGGTGGGGAAAGGGTCCTGAACTTCCCTAACACTGGCTCGGTTTTGGTTCAGAGGTGTTTGGCCTAAGTCCTGTAAAGTAATCAGGGAATGGGGCAAATTGTGGTAAATGTTATGAACTGAAGGAAGACAGAAATACATTAAAACAAACGTACAAAAGCAGCAGCTGGTGTGGACAGCAGATTATCTCAATTAACTGGACCACAAAAGTTATTAGTGGCATGCAATATGCCCACATTGTGTAGAGTTAATAGAGATTAATTAAGTCACACAGGACGGACAGGCTGGAGTGTGAAATAAAAAGCTTACAGAGAGAGGTGTCGGAGACGCCGACCGCTTCTGCGCAACGTGTCGATCTCTCTCTCTGGACGGTCTATCGGGTTTCACTGGCGGTTCTGTGGGGCCACTGCCAGGGCCGCCGTTCTCCGTCACTATGGCTTTTAACTGCTTCAGCTTCTCGTCCTTCACCCACAACTTGTTTTGCATCTCTAGCTGCTTGGCATTAACTCGCCTCTCCTAGTAAGAAAAATACAAACAGGCCGCGTTCAGTTTGCTCTGTTTTAATATTCAAAATAATCTCCAAACGTTAAATTTTAATAATGCTGGTATATTAGTGACCTGATATTAAACTGAAGAGGGAACATTAAGCGGAGCTTTTTAACTAGAGATGCATCAATCAATAGATTCAAATCCATATCAGCCAGTTTTTCAATTTAATTGGATCCAATTAGGGATTAGAGTCTGTATCTGCATTTATTAAGAGTATCAAAATTAGGAAATTCTAACATGAGAACCGACAGCACGCGCTCTGGTGGACTATTCTAATACAGGTCAGAGATACAGATGTTCTGATATAAAAATCTTGCCGAATTTTGATGTCCAATAACATTATTGCAGTTATAGCTGATATTTAGAGATATCAAATATTCCCCTGACCTTTGGACTCAATGAAAGTCCGATCAATGCTTCTCCGCTTCAGTTAAACATGTACACCCCTGAGCAGCATCACAATTACTGTCACATGACCAAACAAACATGACCGATACCCTCCCCTCACCCTGACAAACTAAAGCAGCAACTACATAGATATAAATATTATTCATCAATATCGGCCCAGTTGTACTTATCTGGCCTATACCAATGCTTAGAAGTGACCAACATTGGCCAGTACTGATATTAATGATGATATATTGTGCATCCCTAGTCAGCGGCGTGCGCTTTTAAAGCCTGAAAAAAAAATATAATCTTCTTACTTCCTACTTTTGAGTATCTAAAAGCGTAAAGCATTGACAGACGCCGATTAAAAACAAAAAAAAAACTGCAACTTTATGTTTCTTTAAATCGTAGAGGATTCCTACACCATGGAACATACTTTTTAACACAAGGCCGGGCTTCTGATGTACACTGCCTTTAGTGTTTGATAGCACCACAGAAAACAAGAGTAAAACCCCTTGAAGTAAATTTGGCGTAGCATTAAATCGTAAGTCTGATCAAGGTTTGAATGATTTTGCGAAAAAATCTAAATTGTGATTATTTTTTACCAAAACTGTGATTTTATTTCGATTTTCCTTTGCACTAACCCCAAGCCTGCTCATCTCAGGTTTTCAGCTTTGAAAGTCTGCTTGCACAGATTCCGTTGTTGCAATCTTTTTCCTAAAGAAAAATGCTTACTCCTACTATCATTCATGGATCTGTGTTAGTTGCAATTCTCTCTACCTTTCTGTTTGACAACAAACCCACTTCAAGCGTTCTACTGCCACCTAAAGGGCTGGATTGGTAAATTTAGTGTCTCACTCTTACTAAATAAAGTGCAATGAAATTGAGTGTCTCTGCAATTTCAAAAAAGTTTTTTCTTAAATTCTAATTATATTGCATATATAATTAAATAAACAGCTGGAGATGGGCACCAGCGCCCGTCGCGACCCAAGCTGGGATAAAGCATGATGGAAAATGGATGGATGGATATAATTAAACAAAGTAATCCAACTTTCCCTCCAGTTATCCATTACTGTCTCAAAGCTGATCTTAAGCATCTACTTCTGCAGTAAAATCTATGAACTTCTAATTAGATTATTACAGACTCTTGCAAATGAGTATGACGAGGGAAGACACGATTTAACTAAGGCAGCTGTGTGTTGATCTTCATAGCTCTTTGCAAATAGTTACAGGCAGGTTATAGAATAATCGGAGTACATAAAGCGGAGTCAAGTCAAGAACCAGTGGTGGATAAGCAGGATGGTAAAACTGAAACATCTTTTATGCTCAGACGGCATCTTAACAGTGAGATTTTGTTACTGCAGAAAATATTTTAAACAATAAACTAAATTTGCTTCCAATTTTTCTTTTGGCAGTTATGTCACACAAAAAAAACAACCTCTTTTGGAGTTCATACATGGCCCTAAAGGGTAAGTTCAGATAGCTCTATTAATAATAAAGTTTATATGTGTGCATCTGTATTCTTCCACTTACACACTCCTTCTCCCATTTCATTTTGGTATCTGTCACCATGCCCTGCATGCGCTGCTCCATGCGTCTCCTCTCTGCCAATTCCTTTTGCAGACGCTGCTCTCTGCTCTCCAGTTCTTGCTGCAGGGAGCGTTTGTCCTGCTCATACATCTCGGTCGTTTTCTGCAGGATATCGATCTGAGAAGGACGAATGCAAGCGTGAGAAAACTAAACCTGACTGTATCTTAATTAATTTAAACAAATTAGAAGAAAGGAATCATAACCTTATACTCCAAAGTCTTGGATTTCTTTTCTAATCGTTCAATCTCAGTCTTTTGGTTGATGATGACTTTGTCTTTCTCGCCCAGTTTGCTTCGCTGATCAAAAAGCACCGTCTCCTTAGAATGAATCTGACTGTCAAACTGCTGAAGCATGGACTTCATTGCATTTGCTGAAAGAAAGAAAGAATTTTTTTTTTAAATACGAAACTCATCTAGACATCGTTTTCTGTTTAGAACTTCCTGGGTTATGTCGACAGTTTTACTTTTATGAACAGTAACAATTATATGAGGATCAACAAGGAAGAAAAATAAATCATACCAGTCTGATTGAACTGCTCTGTAATCATCTGACGAATACGGTGCCGTCTTTCCAGGACCTCAATCATACGGGGCAATGTCTGATCATCAGAGGGGTCTGAGAGCTCACAGGGAGGCAGAGGTGGGAGGCTTTCTATCAGCTGGTTCAACAGAACTGGGTCCTCTGTATGAGAGAAAATAACACAAACAGTTGAGTAGAAGTAGTAATAAAGGGTTGGTTTTGTGCTTTACTTTTCATAAAATGGTGGTGCAAAATGTTTACTGTCCTCTTGACTCAAGTACAGACAAACAATAGAATTTGAAGACTTCAAATATGCATTTTCATCTAGGGTTGTCAGTGGCGTGGTTCTCCTTAAGCCAGGCGTACACTGTGGATATTTCAATCGTTACACACAACTACAGCTCAAACTGTACGACAAAACTACAGGGTTTAAAAGATCACAGCTCACGATGCATCTTCTCACACTGTGCGACCCCACTCTCTGATGTACGTCTAAAAATCACACGTCAGACTGAGCGCCAAGAGATGGCGCTGGCCAGACTCATCAATCTGGCAATCTTACGGTGGCCAACTGAAGTTCAAACATGTTTGATTTTCTCCCGACTTTACGATTCCTGATCGGGAGGTCGTTGTGAGAGGCTAATCGCCCTTCCTTACCCCCTGTATACTACACGACACAGGACGTAAACATGAGGCTGAAAAATTCTCGCACGACTGGAAAATCGGCCTGAAAAGGGCAAAAAAATTGTAAAGCATACAGGGTTCCTACAGCATAAGGCAAGTTAAATTCAAGACTTTTTAATGCCACTTGAAATAAAACTTTAAGACCAAATTCACAAGAAACACAAGAAAAACCTGCTTGCGACAACTTAACCCAAAGGTTTATTTTAACATAAACCACTGCACTAATGTTAAAAATTTTGAAAAGCTTCCCAAACAGGAAGAAAGCTAAAAACACACAAATGACAGATATATTTAACAATTATTTAACTGAATTCACAAACTTTGTTTTAGCAGAGAACAAAACAAAATAGTTTTAAAGCCACAACATAACCAGTGCTAAGTCTTTTTTGCAGCTATTTTTCTTTGTATCGTTTTCTTAGTATGTTTGATTTGGTGATAAGTGGAGGCGTTGCAGAGACAAGGTTGGAACAAAACCGAGAAATAGCGGCTGTTTCTCCGTAACTCGATTTCGACGCTTTGTGTTTCCCTTAACACTAGGACCATATTTATTTTTTACGCCTTCATTTTATAAAAAAAAAACTATGTGAAAATTAAGGAAATATGGAAACAGAAAAAAAGTCAGTTAACATGAGCAACATAAGATTAATTTTAAAGTTCTTTCCCTTTAAGAATCTCAGAACCATGAAAATGACGGCCTTGGGAGTTCTAGTGTTAAGCATATCTTGAACCAACATCTAAGAAAATAATTGAGCCAGACTCAGTAAAGTGTTTTACCTCCATTAACTGGACCTCCTCTTTCTTCCAGGCGGCGAGACAGCTCATCTTTGAAGGCCTGGTTTCTTTGTCTCCGTCCCGGCACGAGGCCGTAGATTGGACGGTCTACAGGCCGTGCCACCTCTACTTCCTGGGTCATCTCAGCGAAGCGCATCACCAGCTGCAGCACACACACAATGCCAAACCTTTATTCAAATACATTGTTATGTTCCCAAAATCCAGTTCAAATTAAATCCAATTCATTCATTTGTAAGTTAATACTAAAAGTACAAAAAAGTAGTGAGTTTTTCCCCCAATAGACTCAAAGCCATTTATAGTGTTGTGTTGTAAACAAATGAAAAAACCTACCAAAGTTTCTTCATAATCTTCAGCCTTGGGGTTAACACACACAATCATCCTGACCTTTCCTTCGCCGTCAAAGTAGTTTTTAAACAGGTGTGTGACTTTAGAGTCCCGGTATGGCACCATCTGAGGACATCAAAGAGCGAATATAAAAGAAAGTTACTTGTAAGAATGAGGGTTGCACTGCAAGGCAGTAAACCAGAGACAGGGGTAGTATGGTTCAATGAGAAGATGCAAACCCTATTTGTTCCGAACATCTGGTTTTCACGCAGAACTTCCATACATGTCCGTAGAGTCATCAAGGACTGGTTAATATTACCTGAAATCAAACATTTTAACGAATTGTGATTTTTGTTTGCCGGGAGCTGCCATTTCATTGAAGCGAACAAGCGAAAAACTGACCCGCTTCTCGAAGACGACTCCCCTCTGCTCTGGTTCTGTTGGTGCGCTCGCTGCCTGCCAGGTCAACTAGACACAGCTGGCTCACATTCACCTGACTTTTGTCCTGTTTGAACAACATAAAGTTTCAGCTTTCTATAACCGTTAAAGCCCAAAAAGATCAGTCCAACACAGGTCATAATATCCCATTAGGATATATTAGGGCTTCCAAAAAAAGTTCAAAACAATCCACTGGACCTTGTTTCCAAGCCCGAAGATCTTTCACTTCCCAATCAGGAAGCTTTTTCAATTTATAATGTCAGAAATAACATTGAGATCAAGGCTATATACAGTAGCCAAACAAGCACTTGTTTTTGTTTAGAAATGTGCATGTTTTTTTTTTTTTTTTTAACAAAAGTAAGGGCTTGCTGGGCTAGTGTATAAAACCTCGAACTCAGCACCATTTCTGAAATTTTGACTTGAAAAAGCTTTCTGGTTGGGAAGTGAAATGTCTCCGGGCTTGGAAACAAGCTCCAGTGGATTGTTTAACTTTTTTGGAATGACTTTGACCTTGATGACTGAGAATCTTCACTAACAGATATGCTAGGGCTTATATTTTTTGGTACCATCTTGTAAACTATTAAAACTGACACTAAAAACACTCTTAATTTATTGAATTTGCCAATTGCTCAAAGCAAAAAAAAGAAAGAATCTAATTTAAATCTATTGATTAGACGATAAATCAAAATTGTTCCGACTAGAAATTTAACACAGTAATGATATAAATGCCGACTCCTAATCCTGATAAATATTGATAAATAACTGCTCTGTTTTCGGGTGGTTATGTTTACTAAGAAACTCTTGGACGGATTTTGCTGAAATCTTCAGAGAAGGTGCGTATTGTTACTAGGAAATGGTTACATTTTGGTGATGATCCAGATCATCATCTTGATCCAAACATTTATTGATTCTGGGATTCTGTGAATACAGTCATTAACTTGAGATGGAAGTCATAATATGTGGGAGGAGATGAGCTACATTTATATAACATGTATAGTATATATAATCTAGATTGTAATACACAAAATGTATGTTTTGATATATTGTTAAAATAAAAAAAGACTTTAAGCCAGTCACCTGCAGTATATAGTCGCCATCAGCATCAAGAGGTGCTTGGGCCAGCTTTACCGTGAAGACACTGTGAGAGCGACTGGACTCACGGTTGAGCTGTGTATTTGCGATCCGCCGCTTCTTTTGTCCTGAACAATTAGAAAACAGCTAAGATTATTGAAATGATTGTAAAAGGACACCGGAGTGTAAAAAATGAGTAAAAACACACAATCCAATGCAGCGATACAGTAAAACATCAGTGACCTTTCCAGAAGACTTCAAAAGCTTCTTCTTTGGACTTGACTTCAAGTTCCGTGCAGCCAGCCACATACATGTTATGATTCTGATCTTCCCGGAGAATCTTTGACTGAGGGGGTCTGAAAGATGGTGGTAAAACAAACAACATGAGTTACACAAACTTAGTGAAATAATACAGCGCTATATAAATAAAATTCACTGCTTCAATAAGCCAAGCTGCGTAAGCTGAACAGCCAACAGTAGAAGCAACGTTAGAGCAACTTCTATCCAAAAATGTTTTCTGCCAAAGATGCACAGCAACATTCAAGCCATTCAGCAAAATCTCATCAATAATAGGGGGGAGCGAAGATGAAAGGAGACAATAGCCAGAGACATGTCATTGGGCTAGTTGGGCGACATCCAAGTTAAAGACCAGACATTGGGTTCAAGGGATGGGAGTAATGAAATCTGTAAAATATTTGCTACAACAAAGGATACATCTAAGAAGAAATAGTAAGTGGTTTCTAATGCTAATCTGTACGATTGTGTCACGTACATGAAATCTTTGTTCCGAACAGGTGTGTTTCCATCAAGCCACCTATCGAAATCATGGATTGGTAGTTTTTGTCAAATGGCCCTCACATATGCAACTGATCAAAGAAACAACTCATTTTTCATACTTGCACTAATGTGTACAACTGTGTCTTACTTTGGTCTGATTGGATCAAATGGAGCATCTTCAAGGAGGTCATAGACATAGTTGTTGTAGATCTCTATGTAGGAAACGAATACACTGTAGCAGCAGTCTTCATCCACGCTTTCAGATTTACATGCTTCATCTGGGTTGATCATATCTGCAAACTCTGGATCAGCCTTTTGTCTTAAACAAATAAAACAAACCAACTTTATAACTGTTTCTTTAAAATGAGGTGAGCACAGTATATCTGCCCATTTATACCTTGATGATGGGGTTTTGGGCACCGATGCCTGGCTGTCTCGCTTCTGCCTCTCCAGCAGAGCATCAACCTGGTTCTGAATCTCTATTCCATTTTTGTCGTCTGGTTTAAACACCTGAATTGATAAATACATTAAAACAAATCTGTCCCAAACTTTGTCAGCAAATCTAGAAAACACAACTCATCTTACATATCTTTTGGCCTGAAAAGGCCCAATGCTATTAAAGAGCATGTCTAGAGAGCGAGGAAGGAGTCCCCCTTCTCCAGGTGAGCCAGTCATGGTGTACGTTTTACCACTTCCTGTCACGCCGTATGTGAAAAGCAGACCTGGGAACAGTCACACATTTCACAGGAAAGGAGAAGGTGGTTATAATGGCCTCTGAAATTGGAAAACTCATCAAAACAGATAACATTTGCTGTCATCTAATGGTATTTAATGTTCGCACAACTCAAAACTATAGATTACTTTTACTAGATTAGGTAAAAATATTAATAATAAAAAATTTTTGTTTTTTTTTTTTCTTAAAAGAAAATATCTCTATGACTCAACTTATGCAAACATTTTACACTTGGGGGGAAAAAAAAAAAAAAAAAAAAAACAAGACTAGTGCTTAATTAGTAGATTTATTTTGAAATCCAAGTTAACATACCATTTTTACAGTGAATGAGGTCCTCTATGAGCGGCTTGGCAACATCCTCAAAAAGCTCCGTTTGAGTAGTCTTGATACCAAACACCTTTTTAAAGGAGTACTGCATCTACAAAAGAGAGGTGGAAAAATAATTATTCACAAAAAAAAAAAAAACCTAAACACAAAAGTATTGCTGCTAATTTTGCTCAGAAACTACATGAAAATGTGCTGTTGCAAAGATAACCGTCATGACAGCAGGTAATCACCATTTGGTCACAATGCATTTTTCAATCATCATCATTTTGGATACGCATTGAGCAGACTAAATATATTGCGGGTCTTAAAAGGATGAATGTTGGAACTTGAGGATCCAGGCAGCCATTTCCATGTAATACATCACAACTCAACACAGTAACACAACTGCGATATGATACACAGTCCAGACCCGATTTAGCAGATTTACTGATAATGAGTGTAACAGACAATAACAGATAATATGCCGCATATGCAACCTGCTTACCTCTTTATATTCACCATTGCGGTTGGCTTTCAGCCCATCAGGAGCATGCAGCTGAATGGTGGAGCTGCTAATCATCTCAACGCAGCATTCCTCATCTTCTCCACTTAGTGGACGTATGCGGCAGTAAACCTAGAAAAACAGACATTTAACAAAAACATACGTTTCTATAAAATTATTCCTAAACGGATAATTCAATAGCAACCATAAGGTGACAATTCTTTTTGCTTTTTTATTTATTTACCATTTTTACCCCTCTTCATTTTAAAGCAATCTTGTTATCTTACAGCTAAGGTAAATGCCTTACAAGACCATAAAATATTATCCAATAGCACACTTAACAGAAAAAAAAAAAAACTTAGGGCAGATGATGTCATTAGAAAATCAAATGACGGTGATAATATCAGTAAATACTTCAGTGAAAATATCAGTTAAGATCTTAGACAAGCTTCAAGTGCAATTCTGCTATGAGCATCTTCTTTCACTGGACAATGCCCAATGATATAAACATTACAATAGCAGCCATGGGAACTGTGGTTGCAGCTAAACTAACAAATCTAAGCATTTTTTCAGATCCAGATCCTTCCGATATACATTACATAGCCCATACATTTCCTTTTTTTTTTACTTATTGTATATAAAACAGAAGAGTTCTCAGATTACATTTTGATTATGTACCTTATGGGTGCACAATTTTGTTCTTGTAAATATATACCAACTCTATGATATACTCTTTTTATTTTTTTTTCTTTCCATTACTGGCAAAACATGAATTGAAATTCGGATTTCTGAATACAGTACACGATACAGTAAATTTGATGTATTTAAAATTACACTTTCACTATAAAAAAGACAAGATAACAATTTTCAGGCTTTATAATTTGATAAAGAGGAAAGTGAATCCAAAATGATAAAGTAGGTGCCAAATTACCTGCCTGTTTAAACTTGGTACGTGTAAACCTCTAGAGCAGGGGTCTTCAATGTTTTCCAAGCCAAGGACCCCAACTGATGGCAAGGTATAGTGCGGATCCCCTAATTATATGTATATATATTGTATGAAATTGTGTTATATCAAACTGGTCCTATAGTCACTCTCTTACATATGGAGTAATGTAAGCAAAGTAATTTCACCCTGGGATTATTAAAGTATTTCTGATTCTGATTCCTGGTTGATGGGACAGGTGTTGTGAATGAAACGGTGCCCAGATTGAAAGAGCTCCTGTGTGTCGCTGAATGTGAGCATTGATGACTGAAAGACATCTTCTGCCTCCATTTATCTGTTTACTACTGTGTGTTGAATTCAAGTTAATGTGGATTTGAAGACATTTCAATTAGTGGAAAAAAATGCAGGGGAATATAAAAAAAAAAAAAGGTTTAATCAACCAAAACTTCCACGACCCCCATGTAGTACATCCGTGGAACAGAGGTGTCAAGTAACGAAGTACAAATACTTCCTTACTGTACTTAAGTACACTTTTAAGGCATCTATACTTTACTCTATTACTTATTTTTCTTCCTACTTCTGACATCTGCTCATTACATTTTCACAAAAGTATCTGTACTTTCTCCACTGCAGATCATTGGCTCCATCCACATCTAGTGAAAACTAGTGTAATTTGATGAGTCATATAACACAAACACTCATTGGTTAGCTAAAAGAAATCATCAGAAGCAAGCAGGTGTTCTTCAAACTGCAAACGTGAATTGTCTATGCCATGCTACAATGTAGGATTCAGAAAAAGATCGGACACAGGCGAGAGCGTATCGGGAGATGGAGACCAACAAGACCTCCCTCATCCTTGGCCCTATCTCAAAGAATTTTTTGAAATAGTCCAAAAATTGAGCTTTCAATTCATATAGTGGCATCTGGCTGTTTTTTTAAAGGTTACTTTATACTTTTATACTGTAGTTTTTAGAGCACATACTTTTTCACTTTTACTTGAGTAAACAGGTCAAGTTGGGTGTTTTTAAACTGCAGTATCTATACTTCTACTTTAGTAACAAATGTGTGTAGTTTTGACACCCCTGCTCCATGGACCCCCTGCTGAAAACCTCCACTCTAGACGTTTATAGTAAATGTGACATACCCCAACAGGATCTTTCTCTATGTTGGATGGCTTTTTTGGCCTCCGAGGAGTCTTCCCTTTTCTGCAACAGAGCAACACAGTTATTATCAAACAATTTCTCTAATAATAAGCTACATGATCATTAGGATGTTGATCATCAAAGGCCTAGTAAGAAAATACAGCGGAATTTATGAGTTTTACCGCAGTAAACAAGTAAATGAATGAATGACCGCAAACGGTTTTCTCATTTAGTTAGCTCAGGCGGATCTTATCATCGATAGAGAAAAATCTGTAGATAGATCAACGTGAACAGCTAGCCATAGCTTCTGGTTAAACATTTTTTCAAACATCAAGCCTTAAAGACGAGCCCAGAGATTACAGAGGAGAGTTGACAGATTACCAACCGTAACCGTGGCTAACGTCTTGTAGCTAATTTTCTGCTTTACATGAAAACCCTAAAACAGTGTCTGGAAAACAGGCATTTCTTTAACTTATAATGAGCTCCTAAAGTCAATCTAACCGCGGTTACAATTTATTGAGCAAATATTTAATTAAAAAAACAAAATAAGAAGATACTGACCCAGCTCGCTGCATTGTTTGTATAGTCAAACTCCTCTCAGCTGCTCAGAAGCGCCTCTTCTTCGCGATTTGAAATATTCCCTCTTGCAAAACGTATTTCCGGTATTCATGAACCTCAGCCAATCAAACGCAGAGATAGACGAGTTCAATACGGAAGTTCCGCCCCCCTGAAAAAAAACAACGGTTGACCTGTGTAGTGAGAAAATTTGTATCCCCTCGTCGGGAGCGCGCGTGGAGTAAGGAGAGCTGACCGAGTTCACTCCGCCTAAATACCAATGTACTGAACGTGAAATTTGAAAGGTTTAATGTTTATGAAAGATGAGCTTTTCTGCTTTATTCTTTCCTTTCACATGTTATAGCAGAATATCGCCAGTGATACTGATAAAGGAAAAAAAAACACGAGCGTTTGCTTGAAAGCAGGTCGGTGACAGCAGTGTCTGCTCCTTTCTCTGAAAGCCAAAAACTTGTTCGTTTCTACACGTTCCTTAAAAAAAACTCGTTTCACTGAGTCTAAATGTTCGCATCCCGTTGAAAACTGTTGTAATAAAAATGAAATAGAAAATGGAGTGTACGTGTAATTATTAAAGACCATATCCAGAAGGAAAATAAAATTTTCCTATGTGAAATTTAGTACTTAAATCTACATTGGAGTTTTATATTAACTTACAATTTCTCTATGTTGTACTATCCTTAATAAACTACGGAGGAGGATTGGGGCAACTGAAAAACAAAAAAAAAGTAAACTGATTTTTACATTTTATTTTGGTTTAATATGGGAAAAAGTCAGAATTCTGACTTTTTTCTAAGAATTCTGACTTTTTCTCAGAATTTTTTCCCATATTAAAATGAAATTAAATTTAAAATCAGTCAACTTTTTTTATTTTTCAGTGGCCCTAATCCTTGTCCACGATAAACAGTCTTTGTTCTAACATCAGGCATTTGCTTTTTTTCATCTCATATTGCCAGAATTGGTATCCCCATCAACTCCACATCCAGCATAGGAATATACCTACACATTCTTAAGATTATTTTTTGACACTAGCAAGGGCGTAGGTTTGATTTGAACTTTGGTAGGGACACTATTGGTCGGGTGTCATTGGTGCTATGCAATATTCATGCCCTTTTTTAAGCTTGATGTAAGCATCCGAACTAATAAGAGGAATTCATTGTTAAAAGAGAGAAGCATCCTTTTGCTACATTAATAAAAATTGTATAAGCACTACACTCATTAGATGCTGTTTATCAATGTTTGAAGTATCACCGGCTCTGATGAATGTGGAATTAGGACTTTTTTCCACTTTGAAAATCTTTTCATTTGAACGATTAAGAGAGAAGGTAAATACAGGATTTTCCTTTGAAGATATAGAATTGTGCAGAGTTAAACCCCACTTTTATACAGTATT